CACCTGGTCGCAGAACTGCAGCCCCGACGGCGTCTCCTGCAGCTCGCACTCCGCCGCCTGCGCCGCGCCGGCCGCACCGAGACTTGCGGCGGAAGCTGCGGCGAGCGCGCCGAGTAGCAGCGAGCGACGGTCGCTCAGGGCGGGAGCGCTGCTGAGCGGAGCTGGCGCGGGGAGATCCGCTGATGCTGCGCGCACAGGCTGTGGCGCTCGACGGGAAACGCCCAAGGGGGCGAGAGAGGCGGGGCGGGATAGAGGGAAGAGGGCAGTGGCGCGCATATGGGGAAGATCGGCGGGGCGCACGCGCGCGGAGAGCGCGCCAGGGACGATGGTGGTGGGTGGCGCGAGCAGGTGCGAGGCGGCCATGGTTGGCGCAGCGGACAGCACGCTGTACACAGGAGCGGAAAATCAGCCGCACTCGCTCAGTGGGGCAATGCGGGCAAGGCGAGCGAGATTGTGGGGTGAGGTGATGTGTGGGTTTGGAGGGAGATGTGGGATGAATGGAAAGACAGCTGTTTGCACCGCCCCAACCTGCCAAATGTACCGAACCCAAAATGTCTTCATGGGCAACCACCCACATATACGGCACTAGCGCCCATGGCCATGGTGCCACCCAGCCTCGTGCCCCACAGACATCGATCGACACAGACTCAGACAGAGACACCACCGGCAGGCATTGCGGCCAGCACACGTCACGGATCGTCGCGTGAATTGTCGCACGGCGTCCTCGTAGCTCCGTCGCATCGACTTCTTGATCGTCGCCTGCCCAGCCGCACACCATCATGATGCGCCCCGCAGGTCCTCGCGTTCGCCGTCCGCCGTGACGCCCGCGCGCGCCGCCCACAAGCCACGCGCTTGTACACACTCGCCCCTCCAGCCACGTCAGCAGCAGCACGAGCCCCTCGCGCTCCGTAATTGTCCCTCGCCAACGGGCGTCGGTAGTTGTTCCGCGGCCCTCGGAGGCCACGATTCAGCAAATGGCTGCGGGCTCGCCGTCTCGCACGCCGCCGGATGCGGCCGACGCACCACCGCAGCCTGCAGAAGACCCTCTTCACGCGCTGCGACCCTTCAAGCCGCCTTCCGCCTCGGAGCCGCGCGAGGACGGCGCGCCGGGTAGCGATGCGGTGCCGCGCTCCCCGCGGTGGACGGCGGCGCGCGTGGGCTATCTGGCGCTGCTGGCGGTGTGCTTCGCGCTGGGGTGGGCGGCGCTGTTCGTGCAGGTCGCCACCACCACCGTCGCCGCCAGGCAGTGGGGCGGCACCGCCTTCAGTACCGTGCCTTACGGTGCGTCTCCGCCGCTTTCAGCGTGTGGGATAGAGCACTCGCGGTCAGCGCGTGTTGCGCTGGACCTCGCTGCTCTCCCCTTCACCCGCTCTCTCACTGCTTTCCGCCCCTCCCGCATTCCCCTCCCCTCTCTCTTTCCCCCGCTCCCAGGCGTGCTAGCGGCGGCGCATGCTCTCTGGGCGCTCCCCGCGCAGCTTATCATCCGCGCATCGCGTTCCGCGCGCCCCTCGTTCATCGCGGGGGGCGCGCTGGGCGTCCTGGGAAACGCACTCTTCGCGGTCGCTGCTGCCCTCGCGCACGACTCCCCCTCCGCCTCCTCCTCCTCCCCCGCGCCCCCCACACAGCCCGCCCCCATGGCGCTGCTGTGCGCGGGCGCGCTATTCGCGGGGCTCGCGAACGCGTACATCAACTTCCTGCGCTTCGAAGCCGCGCGCTTCGCGCCCTCCGCCGCGCACCTGCCCACCGCGATCTCCGCCGTGGTGGCAGGGGGCGTGGTGGGCGGCGGCATGGGGCCCATCATCAGCCGCGTGACACGTGGCGTGATCCCAGGCCACGAGTTTCTGGCGACGTACCTGGTGTCGTGTGGGCTGTTCCTGGCGGAGATGCTGCTCGTTGCACTCATCCCGCTCCATGGGGGGAACGCGCACGCTCGCCACCAGCAAGACGCGGGTGGGGACAGCTGTGGTAGCGGTGGTGGTGGCGCAGGGAGCACGAGTGGGGACAAGGAAGAGATTGTGCTTGGAGAGGGGCCGGGTTGGGCTGGGGATAGAGGCTGTCAGGAGGGAGGGCGGGGGAAGGGGGAGAGTGAGGCGATTATGGGGGATGGGGATGGGCAAGAGGGCGCAAAGGACGAAGAGAAGGGAGAAGGCATTGGCGAGCCCAAGAGCAGCAGCGGGTGTGACACTGGGCACGGCAGCTTGGGCGCGAGCAGGGTGGGTGGGTGGTGCTGTGCTGGTGCTGTGGGTGGAGGGAAGGTGGGTGACGGGCATGCATGTAGCGGTGGGGTGGATGGGCGGGGCGGAGAGGTGCATGACAGCACGCAGGGCGAGAGGGATAATGCGCGGCGCACGGACATGACCATTGGGTGTGATGGCGACGAAAATGGTGATGGGAAGGAAATGGTGGGGCGAGAAGTGAAGGCGGGGCCGGGGAGGGAGGAAGGCGAGGCGGTGGTGGTGCTGGTGGGTGCAGGGAGGGGAGGCGAGGGCAGTGGGAACACAGCAGCAGGGGGGGAGGAGCAGGGCAGGAGGCGGTGGTATGAGGTGATGCGACAGCCAGGCGTGGTGGTGGCGGTGGCAGCGGCGACGGTGGCGTATGCGGGCATGGCAACCATCATGCTCACTGCCGTCATTGCCATGCTCGCCGTGCAGCCAGGTGCGTGCACGTGCTGTGCTGCCAGGGGACGTGGGAGCGCCATGCTCGCACTTTACCTCACAGTTGCTCGTTCCAATCACTGCAACAGTCTCTGTGTCGCTCGTGGGCACCTATGCTTTGCATTGCTGGTGTGTTCGTGTGCGCATGTGTGTGTGTGCAGGCACAGGCGATGTGGAGCTACAGGGCCAGTTGGGGGCAGTGATTACTTTTGCCGACACCAGCAACGTCATTCTCGTGCATGTCGAGGTCAGTACCCCCCCCCCACTCCCCGTCATACTTACTCTGCCTCTCGAAGCCCTCTCACCACAAGCTACCTCCCGCCTCCACCCTTTCTGCCCTGCCGTCAGCACCTGTGCCCATTCCCTTTCCTTTTTTTCTCTTCCTCCCTGTGTCCCCTCGGTGTCCCTTTCCCCCTGGGTGCAGGCCATGTTTGTGCCGTCCTTCTTCACACCAGCCATCATAGCAGCGCTGGGCAGTGACGGCGCCATGCTGCTGGGATTCGTGCTGCTGCTCGCCTCGCAGCTCGCGCTGCTGGCAGGCACCACCCTGCCGCTCTTCTTCCTCTGCCTGGCCCTGCTGGGCCTGGGCTGGAACCTTGCCTTTGTGGGCGCCACGGCGCTGCTCGCCACCACGTACCGCCCACACGAGAAAGACATGGTCCGCCCCTGGCCTCGCCCCCCCTCTCCGTGCCCAGCTTTCCCCTTTTCCTTAGTTTTGTGTCTCATAGCATGCACCTCATGACGAGGAAACCTTGTGACTCTGCCGTCCCCCCCACATGTTATTCCTTGTCTGTCTTCCTAACCCGTACCTCCTCTGACTGCATCCCCTCTCCCCCCACCCCTGCCACATGACCCAATACGGAGAGCAGGTGCAGGGCATCAATGACGGCATAGTGTTTGGAGTGAACACCATCGTGGCATCTACCGCCAGTGTGGTGCTGCAAACCATCAACAGCTGGCCCACCTTTCTCCTCATCTACTCCCTCGCCTCCTCCCCCGCCCTCTTCATCACTCTCGCCTTCTGGCTCGCGCGCCGCCACTTGCTGCCATTCCATTGGCCAGGAGTCGCTCCCCCTGCTCCGCCCCTGTTGCCAGCACCATCATGTTTGCCCCTTGAGGCGCCCCCACCCAGGCATGCACGTGGTGCATGGGGAGGGAAGGGGAAGCAGCTTGTGAGGTCACTGTCGAAACGGCTTGGAGTGAGTGGGAGGGTGGCAGGGATGAAATGGGGTTGAGACGACCGGATGCTGTATAGGTCAAAGTAAGGGCAGCCAGGCTATGAGGCAATACCTGTTGGTGCAATGTTTGGATCAAATGCACGCCCTCTGAGGCAGCCTAACAAGACATGTGTCTGCCCGAGTTCACTCAAAACAAGGGATGCAAGCAATGTTCCTAAAAAATATTATAATTTTTAAACACATTGATGTTTTTCAAAATTGTGTATTGTGAAAGCGAAGCTGACTGTACCGAATATTTGGCAGCGTCGAAGCGCGCTAAACGCCCTTCTCCAACTACAAAAACCGTGGGTTGGAGTTCATTCCCTCCACCCACGTTTCTCGTTTTCCAACGGCTCAATCAACATCCCCACCACCCACCCCGGACCAACTACAAGACCACAGCTGCTTGGACGGACGACTCCATAGCTAGTAATATTTGCATGTACTAGCATGTGTTTACGAACGATGCATATGTTGTAATAAGCCAGTTGCAATGAGAACGATGCCAAATTATAAGGACAAGAAAGCAAGCTTTCTCAATACAGCAGAAACTGTTGTGCTGTCCGTCTCAGCAGGCTTTAATGAAGGGCAACAGAATTTACAAATTCATACATCCATGCACAGCAAGCAACACCTAAGTAGCAAGACAACCAATATTGACCAAAAGCATACGGTAGAAGCTAGAGCAGCCACTAAATGCCCAGCCCAGAATGCAAGGATCCCTCCTCGCATACTCAAGGTACGAGCTACCATGCGCACTCCACAGAGCAGAGATTGCTCCTGCAGCTACACCCATGGCAGCTCATGTATGTGCAGGTGGACGCTGCCACTCTAGGGAAGCACACCTGCGCAAGGGGACAGGGCCTATCAACAAGCAACACTACCTAACGTATGAGCCTCATAAGCGATACCTAGTAATATACACCGCCACATTGATTCTCTAGTCCATGCGCCGCTGTCAAGAACGCACACTTAGCTCCAACCCTGAGCGCCGACCTCCTCCATCTCAAGATACCTGCGGCCATGGCTACAGCTCCCGCTGCTGCACGCCGTGGCACTACTACCTGGAGATACTTCCACACGCACCCGCTCACGCCCATCCCTCGCGTGCCTAGCCTCGCCCGTGCAGTCAGTCCCTGATCTTGCGCGCGGCTCGCTCAAGCCACTGCTCGAGGAAGGCGGCCATGTCGAGCCAGGCGTTGTAGCGGCCGCCGCAGTGCGAGAGCCAGAGGTCCATCACCTCCTCCTGCTGCGCCGACGGCAGCGTCAAAATCACCTGCCCCAGCATCTCGCCCAACAGCCGCCCCCGCTCGCGCGAAAACACAGCGGGTAGGCGGGGAATGGTGGTCAGCACGGGCAGCCACAGCTTCACGAGCGCCGCGCGCGTGTTCGTGGGGATGATGGCGTGGCCGCCCACCATCAGGGTTAGTAGCCGCAGAATAATAGGGAGCAACGGATCGTACATGGCGGCTTCCGCGCGATTGTCTCTATGGGTGAAATACTCCACGTGTCGCACGAAGCCTTGGTCCTCGCTGAGCCACTTAATTATGTACTCTGCAAACCCTAACCGGTCCACCATGGTTCCCATGAGCCACGCCACGTTGTCCATTTCAACTGCGAATTTCGCGGCGAGCTCCTTGGACGACTCGGCCGCCATGTCCACGAAGTGCATCACGCCGCCTCCCCCGGCCGCCTCCTCCACCACGCACGCCTGAACGCGGTCTATCAACTCGTCCAGCTGCTCGAATAGCACGCGCTTCCGCACCTCGGCGCGCAGCGAGCCGCTGATGAAGAGCTTCTCCACGGAAGCGCGCCACATGGCCTTGGACTGCGGGTCGGCCGGAGGAACTGCGTCCGCGCGCGCCACGGCCTGAGACACGAGCTTCTTGAGAACGTTATAGACCGCTTCGGCGCTTGTCGGTCCAAGACGCGCCAGAACACGTAATCCGCCCTTGGTTTGGTCCATGCCGAGGCGCGCGAGGACATTAACTACCTCAACCTCCTCGTCCGTGGACCACGGCACGGCCTCCAGGTATCGCAAGCAGGCGTTAATACCGTCGTCGAATTGCAGGTCTGCGGCTACCTGGAGAATCTTAAGAGCCTTGCTGACGCTCGTTATTTCCGCCTTAGGGTCCTTCCCGTCTAACAATCGTAGCGTGGCTTCGTACGAGCTGACGTCGGCGACGTAATCGCTGACCATGAGCTGAACATGCGGCTCGTCGGCCGGCGTGCCGCTGCCGGCGACTGAGCCGGAAGCCGCGGATGTCTTGGCAGAGGCGGAATGCAGGGGAGCGAGAGCGGGGGAGGCGTTGGTGGAGCTGATGGACGTGGCGACGAGGTCGTTCCAGTGGTCTGACAGCGAGTCCGCCAACAGCTTGCTCTCTGCTAGCGCCGTGTCGGAGAGAGACATGGAGCAGATAGCCCTACTGCCGCCTTTCTCGCACACGGACACGCGAATTGACTTGCGGTGCTGCTGTAACGGGTTCTTGTGACGCGGCTCTAGCTCCAGCGGAGCCATTGTTTCACTAAGGGTTTGGCGTTTGGTGTCGGCTTTTGGGATTGGGGAGGCCATGGTGGAGGAAGACCAGAAGGTCACTTCATCAACTACATAACGCAAGAATGGTGGAGGATGTTTGAGGAGACAACATACGATACGAAATCCTTGAAAAGTGATTGATGGATGATAGAGTTCATGGCATGGCAGGCACGAGTCTTGCGGGGCTTGGATGGAAGAGGACGGAGAGGTGCTCTGCTGCTGCTCTGCTCCCTCCCGCAGCCGATGGCTGTGCTGGCAGAGGGCTTCACGGCCGCAACTGGGACGAACAGGGGGGACCGACTGGCGCAACCAGGTACAGTACACCCTGTTTCTCGACCCTCTCACCTTGCGCGATTCGCTGCTACAGTGCGGTCAGGTGCCATAAACCGTATGGCTGAAACCTGCGGGCAAAGCCGCACCAGCTGACGGAGTGGTACTGGGGGCAAAATTTTTCTTTATCGCTGTATACCCTTTTCAACCGCTTTGAAACGCTTGGTTAATGTTCTTTACCATGCAGCATCCTAGCTAACCGCTTTCTTGTGAATGTGCTTGTACCGTCGGTGATAAGACCATTTCAAACGTGGTGACGTTCTACAACCTGTGCATGTTCTGCAACCAGATGCTCTGCTAGCGCGAAGCAGGGTGTATGCCTCTCGGGGGAGGTTGGGCGTTCCCCATGGACTGACCGACTAGCTGAGGCCAATCGCATCAGCGCGCAGCAGCCTATCGCGCAGGCTTGGCAAGATCTCCGTCCGTGTGCCTTCGCAGCACCACACCACCCTCGACCGAACTTACATCAGTTCTGGCTAGCTGACATGACGGGCTTGAGGCTGTCGTGTGCCGAGAGACGCGGTGATTCCCGAAAGTTTTCGCTTGCTGCCTGTGAAGGTGAAGTGTCACGAGTCAAGGTACATCTGGATGCTTCGCGAAGCCTTGGCGAAAAGAGCTGATCACCATCACCAGCAGTCATGAACACCAACCATGTTCCCCGCAATATCTAAGGCCGCCACAAAGCAAGGCGGCTCGTTTGGTTCGGAAAGACCGCCTTGTTACTTGCCGTCCCGTAACAAGAACGGAGAAAAATAATGAACTCTCAGTGTTAACACTAATTAAGCACCACCCTTTGGATTGGAAGAATCACACGAGAATATTTCTTAAAATCCTTATCCCTTGTTGTGCTGAGAAAAGCCCTTAGGATCTTTCAAGTCTAAGAATCTGATAGGAATGTTTGTAGTTGCGGAAGCGTTCAATGATAAACTCTTGAACCACCTTGCGCTGGTATGTGAGGGTAAGATAGATTGATTAGAAGTGTTACGAGTGCAATTGAGTGAGTGAGCGAGAATTGCACTATCGAAGCAAGAGTACAATGAGCTAAGGTATGAGCGAAGAATATATAGCGAAACTACAGTGGTAACGGTAATGGACTGTGGTTGTCGCGTGACGGGCCTGGGACTGAGGTTTGGGAAAATGTCGAAGCGGAGGCCCGGAGCGCGGGTTACCCGCCGAGCCGTGAGGTCGGGGTGCGACGTGCAAAGGTGGCGGGAGGATTGTCAATGCGAGGGTTTGCGAGTGGTAACGGTGCTGACTGTGGTGCTACAGTGATGTACGCGCTGAGCGTGGACGCGAAGTAAGGAAAAGGAATTTTCCTTACACTACCCCCCCCCCCCCCCCCCCCCCCCCCCCCTAAAGAGGTCTTCCTTACGAAAGCGCGTGTACATCCCTGAAGTTTCGGTTGCGCAGATACTCGGTGAGGACGGGGTGGTTTTCGATTCTGTCCAGGGGAACCCAGTTGTCTTCGGTGGGTGTACGGTCTTTCCAGCGGATAAGAAACTCGATCCTTCGGACTCCTCGAGGGTCACGAACTCTGTGGCTCAGAAGTTTCTCGGATGTGATGATTGGCTCAGTCGGTGGTCATGTCATGCTGGCTGGGCGAGTACGTGGGAGTTGGCTTGTGGACGGGACGTAAGGGCGAAGCAGGCTGACGTGGAATGAGGGGCTGACGTACCAGTCAGCGGGGAGGAGGAGGTGGGCGGTGACGGGTGTAATCATGTGACTTATGCGAAATGGTCCACAGTATCGGGGGCGAAGTTTTGGGGTGATGGGCAGGCGGAGGTTCTGGGTGTCAAGTAAAACTGGGTCGTCGGGCTGGTAAGTGACGGGTCTGCGGTGGCGGTCGGCGTTGCGTTTAGCGATGATGTTCGATTTTTTTTATTGCGTCGGCTGCCCGGGTCCGTGCAGCTTGTAAAATTTCGGCGAACTGTTGTGCTCATGGCACCGGGTTGTCGGGATTCGGGGTCATGGGTACTGTCGGGTCTTGTCCGTAGTTCAGGTAAAATGGTGACTGTTGGGTCGTGGCGGACGGTGAGTTGTTGTATGCGAATTCAATGAGTGGCAGCTGTTGTTCCCGGGTGGTTGGGTCGTCGCACGTGGCTCGGATGAGTTGCTCCATGGTCTGGTTTGTCCGTCAGCGGCGTAGTTAACTGTGCCATGTCGGGGACGAACCGACGCACGTAGTTGACGAACCCCAAAAAGCTCTGTAGTTCCGTGATATTCGTCGGGGGGTGCCAGGCTTTCACCGTGTCTAATTTCTTTGGGTCAATTTCTACCCCAGCCTCCGAAATAACGTGCCCCAAAAACTCTAGCGGGTCCTGAAAAAACTCGCACTTGGAACCCTTTGTCAGTAGCCGATGCTCGTCTAAAATCTTAAACACTGCTTCCAGATCTGCTAAATGCTGCTTCTTGTCGCGACTGTAGACGAGGATGTCGTCGAGGTAAACTATCACGCATTTATCTAAAAGTGGCCTAAACGCCTCGTTCATGGTCATCTGAAATGTCGCCGGTGCGTTGGTCAGCCCGAAAGGCATCACGGTGTACTCGAATGACCCGTACATAGTCCGGAAAGCTGTTTTGGCGCAGTCCGATGGTTCGACCCTAATCTGATGGTAACCTCCCCGTAAATCTATTTTCAAAAAAACCCGTGCTGTTCGCAGTTGGTCAATCAGTTCGTCGGCGCGGGGAATGGGGTACCGCGACTTGACTGTTACCCTAATGAGTGCTCGGTAATTGATGCACATGAGAAACCCTCCTTTTTTTTTTGGCGTGAACAGTATCGGTGCGGCGAACGGTGACGAGCTCGGTTGGATAAATTTCTTCTCTAACAAGGAATCTAACTGCTTCCTCAGTTCGTCGAGCTCGGGCTGTGTCAGTCTGAACTGTCGCTGTACAGCTGGTTGTGCCCCCGGTTCTAATTCTATTCGGTGGTCATGTGCTCGCTGAGATGGCAGTCCTTCCGGTAAGTCATCGGGAAAAATCACGGGGTATCGTTTCAACACTTCCTGTAGTTCGGGCGGTACTGCTGCCAGCAGTTTCATGAAATCACTCGGCTGCTCTGCTCGTTCTACCACTGAAATGTCTACTGCGTACACGTCAGCTCCTGTCAGATTTATATGACATAGCTACTGTAGGCTATAGTGGGGTAGCACATATGGGGTACAGCTTTCTAGGGTTTGTACTTGTACCCAACTTTCCCTTAGTCATTTCATTCTCGTTCTAGTTTTCTCATGGTATCGAGCAGGTTCCCTCGTGGGAACTGTTCCTAGGGCCCACCGATTCGATTCTTGTTTTTTTTCGTGCCCAGAGCGCGCTCAGTTCCTGCCCGAGTCGCGCTCCGTGGGTCTCCCCTCTCACGGCCCCTAGCGGACCCGTCGCGCCGCCCTCACGGCCCCTCACGGCCCCTTAGCGGCCTATCGCGGCCCCGTCGCGCTGCCCTAGTGGCCGCGCCACGTCGCGCCGCCCTAGCGGCCGCGTCGCGCCGCCCTCGCGGCCCCGATCCGCCGCCCTCGCGGCTCCGTCGCGTCGCACCGCCCTCGCGGCCCTTTCACACCGCTCTCGCGGCCCTTTCACGCCGCCCTCGCGGCCCTTCCTAGCCGCCCTCGCGGCCTCTTCAAGCCGCCCTCGCGACCCCCCCACCTCCTAGCCGCCCTAGCGGCCCCGTCGCCTATCCCTTCCCAGCCTCGGCGCCGCCTCTGCTGGCCCCGTCACCTACCCCTGCGGCCCCGGAGCTGCCCCACCCGGCCCCGACGCCGCTCCACCCGGCCCCGCCGCCGCTCCACCCGGCCCCGCTGCCGTCCCTACGCGGAGCCGCCGTCACCACCGAGCCGCCAGCGCCGCCGAGCTGCTGCCGAGCCGCCCGATCCACCCGAGCCGCTCGAGCCGCCGCGCCACCTGAGTCGCCCGAGTCGCCGGGTTGCCGAGCCGCCGATCTGCAGCTGCTGCCGAGCCGCCGTACCGCCGAGCCGCCCGAGCCGCCCGAGCCGCCGAGCTACCAAACCGCCGTACCGCCGAGCCGCCCGAGCCGCCCGAGCCGCCCGAGCCGCCGAGTCGCCGAGCCGCAGTTGCTGCCGACCCACCGTACCGCCGAGCCACCCGAGCCGCCCGAGCCGCCGAGTTGCCGAGCCGCCGAGCCGCCCGAGCCGCCCTGTCCGGTAAGAGCAGCGCCTCTGTCACTGCACTGCCCTTACCCTACTGTTCGCGCTGCTGGTCTACTGCTGTCATGGCTACCCCTAGTGTCCTCGCTTTTGACGCTGAGGGTCGGGCCATTGACTTTGACGGCTAGATAGATGACCTGCAGCTTTTCCTACAGTGCGATAGGGCAGACGGTCTCTCCCTCTTTGACCTCACCTCTGGTGCCTCTCCTGCCCCTGCTGCTGATGCCGATACCACTGTTCGCTCATAGTGGGCCACACGCGATGCTGCTGCACGTCTTGCTGTGCGTCGCCACCTGCCTACCTCTGAGCGTGCGCACTTTAGCCAGTACAAGAGTGCTCAGACCCTGTACAACGCTGTAGTTGCACGCTACTCCTCCCCTGCCACTT